CTGGAAGTTAAGCAGATGAGGCAGAAGGCTGGCTTGGATAAGCAGGATCTTCTCTCAGAAATAAGGCAAAAAAGGAAGGTATATGCCCAGTGGAAACAAGGTCAGGGGACATGGAGAGAATTCAGAGACGCTGCTTGTCATTGTAGGGAGAAAATTCCTGTGTCCAAAGCTCAATTGGAGCTGAAGCTGGCCAGAAATGGGGAGGACAATAAACAGAGTTTTTTCAAATACGTTAATGGCAATTGGCAGCGTAGAAATATCATCAGCCTGTTACAGGATGAGGATGGTCACCTCACAAATAGGGACAGAGAAAAGGCAGAGGTCTTTAATGCTTTCTTTGCCTCTGTCTTCAACATGGATGATGGACCGAGGGGGTCTCAGTGCCCTGAGCTGGAGGACCATGATTGTGAGAATGATCAACTCCCAGTCAACCCCAAAATTGTGTGGGATCTACTGCTCCAGCTGGATCCCTACAGGTCTATGGGGCCTGATGGGAATCATCCCAGAATCCTTTCTCAATGATTTTTGAGTGATCATAGGAATCCAGAGAGGTCCCAGCTGACTGGAAGCTGGTGAATGTTGTCTCAATTTTCAAGGAGGACAAGAAGGAGCACTCCAGAAACTACAGGCCTGTCAGTCTCAGTTCAGTGCTTGGTAAAATTACGCAGAAGATTATTCTGGGAAGTATTGAAAAACACCTGAAAGACAACACAGTCATTGGTCACAGCCAGCACAGCTTCATGAGGGGAAAGTCCTGCTTATCAAACCTGATTTCCTTCTATGACGAGGTAATCCACCCAGCTGATCAAGGGAAACCAGTTGGTATAATCTATTTGGATTTCAGTAAAGCTGCCTCTCACATATCCTTCTGGACAAAATGTCCAGCACAGCTGGATGAACACATCATGTGGTGGGTGAGCAATTGGCTCATGGGTCGAGCACAGAGGATAATAGCGAATGGGGTGACATCAGACTGGTGACCTGTCACTAGTGGGGTTCCACAGGGCTCCATCTTGGGCCTTGTGCTATTCAACAGCTTCACAAATGACTTGGACACAGGACTGGAAGGAATACTAAGTTTGCCAACACCACTAAATTGGGAGGAGCTGTTGACTCCCTGGAAGGCAGGGAGACCCTGCAGAGAGACCTCGACAAGTTAGAGAGATGGGTAATCACCAACCAGATGAAGCTTAACATGAGAAAGTGCCAGATTCTGCACCTGGGACACAGCAGTCCTGGAATAGAGAGAATGACTGTGAAAAGAGACCTGGGCTCCTGGTCAATGGCAAATTGATTATGACTCAGCAGTGCCCTGGCAGCTAGGAGGGCCGTGTCCTGGGGGGCATCAGGCAAAGCATTGGCAGCTGGTTGAGGGAGAGGATTTGCTATGACTCACCCCAAAAGGGGAGGGTAACCCAGATTCTTATTAATAAATTCCTTGAGGTGGATTAGGGTGAAACAACACTGAATAATTGGTGTTTGTAAACATATATAGGTAGGGTTTATTTTAGAACAGTTTTGTTTCAGAGGTAAACAGTTATGTTGCCATTTTGGGTGTTATCACCTATAGTAATACAGCAATATTAAAGAAAAATAACACTTTAGGAAATTCATAAGGAAAGGAAGAGAAAGAAAGGATAAAAGTGGAAAGATATATATATAGTCACTGCCCACTGGATCCAGCAATGAAACTTGAGAATTGCAGTTTCCTTGCCTGTTGATTAAAGTGGTGGTCAAAGTCCTGTCAAAGTGATGGTCTTGATCTGTCGGGGCTGGGGGAAGTTCCCTGCAAAACTCAAAGATTTCATGAGTTGTTATTATTAAACACTTCAAGCTCAGGTGGGAATGCCTTGTACCTCCCCTGGGGCAGGGAGTTTTACAATGGATCCTGTCACCTGACATGTCATGAGTTGATGCTCCTGCTCCCCAGAGGGGTTTTCACAGCAGAGTCATGTAAGGGAGGATACTGGGATGATAAAAAGGATTATCGCACCTTGCAGGATTTGCCTCTTCTTAGCCTCTTCCCTTACCTGGAAACCCAGTTTGTAACTTCAGGTATGCATACGCTCCTGCATCTGGGGTAGTTGGACAATGGCACCCACATATCTGATCTGAAGGTCCTTTCACAGTAGGCATATTCAGGGAGGGGTGGGCTTTGCTGGGTGAGCAGCTGTTTCTTTTCAGTTTGCTACAGTGGGCAAAAGTCTTCTGGTGATCTTACAAAGTTTAAGCCATTAACTATTTCAGTCTCTGACAGGATTGTCCTGCTCTGCTCTGCACTGGGGCAGTCTCACCTTGAATATTGTGTGCAGTTTTAGGCACAACATAAGAAAGCTACTGGAGAGTGTCCAGAAGAGGGCAATGAAGATGGTGAAGGGCCTTGAGGGGAAGTCGTAGTAGGGCACTTGGTCTATTCAGCCTGGAGGAGACTGAGGGGAGACCTCATCGCAGTCTACAACTTCCTTGTGAGGGGAAGAGGAGGGGCAAGTACTGATGTCTTAATTCTTGTGAACCAGTAACAGAACCCAAGAGAACAGCATGAAGCTGAGTCAAGGGAGGGTGAGGTTGGATATTAGGAAAAGGTTCTTCCCCCAGAGGGTGGTTGAGTGCTGGAACAGGCTCCCCAGGGAAGTGGTCACAGCACCAAGTCTGACAGAGGTCAAGAAGCATTTGGACAATGCCCTCAGGCACATGGTCTGACTCTTGGGGATGCTCCTGTGCAGTGCCAGGAGTCGGACTCGATGATCCTGATGGGTCCCTTCCAACTCAGCATATTCAACGATTCTATGACTTAGGCACCAAACAGCCAAGCACAAGGACTTCAGGGGCTGCTTATCTCTTTAGTGACAGAAGGTAATGTGTCCTGAGACTACCTAAATGGAAATGTAAAGTTATGCAACTACCAAGTTGAAGGGAGAGTTTTACATTGAATATACAGATACTAAACTATCACCATTTTTAAGACTCCAGCATTACAAGGCAAACAAGTAGTTGCATCAAAACAAGAAAGGACTAGATGGGGTCAGTCATTATCATTTCTCCTAACAACATCGATCTTTATGCTAAACAATAAACAAAGGAAGGTGCAACTTGTAACTGAAGTGTTTTGGATAGGTATTTTGTTTTGCATATTGTGTTGACCATCATTACAAAGACACCTACCTTATATGTCTTCATCAGAGGCAGAAAAGATCATTACATCACTTGGCAAATTACAACTTTTGCTGTTTAGAATTGTATCAGCTTGCACTCCTGTATAATTGAAAAATAACAATATCTTTACCTGAGGCTTTATTGTGCCAACCACTGTAAAAACAAGCATTCTGGGCCTAGCAAAGCACAGCACTTAGCATCTGGCCTTTGACAGAACTGGTATGTAAGATCTTACAAGGAATATGGCGCTTTTCAGGGTCCAAAATTAATGCTTTTTTTCTTGAGGGAAAGGAAAATCATGCCAAAAAGCATTTCAAATAGTTTAAATTTAGCGTTAAGGCCTAAGCCAAGTAAAATTTTTGTATTCACACCTGTAATGTAGCTTGACATGGATTTAAGAACTCGAGTGAGTTTTCTGTTCCCGAGAACAGCAATGTGATACGCTGAAGCCACAATAAAGTCCCATCTTTTATTTGCTATACTTAAGTCATGTTTTAAAAATTTGAGAGAAACCATTACTTTACTATTTTACCTGCATCACTGTGTGCCGCATTTTTCACTCTTCTCTATGCAGTGCTAGGTAGAGTGGTGGCCTGAGATTCAGCAGTACCCAGAGCTGTTAAAGTATGTTCAGAGTAACTGCAAAATATCTGGAAATGAAGTAGCAAATATAGTCCAGATGCATGAAAAGCTTTACAAGTAAAGAAAGGTTTCCAGACATTTATTTCTGGAACTGTACACCAGGTATTAAAGTACAACAAATACAAAATAATGCTCAAAAAATCAGTGTTTATGTACAAATATTAAAACCAATGCAATAACAGCGACTTCCTCTTGAACATCTGATACTAAAACATGTTCCGATTGTCACTTGATTTGTTGTTATGCACAGGGTACTTGCTTTGAGCGGAGAATAACTGGAATCTCTGTTTTATTAGGAAGACTATATCCATTCCTACTTTATTTTACAATTGATAGTATCTTCTCCTCCTTCTTTCAGTGAAAAATAGGAATAAAAAAAATAGTAACCTTGTCATTATCTTACAAATTACTGTATTTCGTTTCCCTGTAGACAATGTGCTTGTAATGCTGGGCAAATAGTGTCCCTGTTGGTCAGTTTTTCCATTAGTTTACATTCAAACTTGAAATACTCACTAGAGACTTTGGTTAAATTAAGTAGTGTCACTGTGTTCTACTTGAACTTAAGGTTTCCTATATTTTTGACTCTCGGTTTCAGTTGCAAAATTCATTGACCTAATTGTATATAATTTCATATTCCTCAAACAGTATTGTACATCCTTCAAGTAAATTCAGCAGTTTGACCATGACAAGAGGAAGACTAAACACTTCAGAAACTAGCATGAAAAGATGATGTGTGACCAACTGAAATACAGGTATTGCTATAATCACAGCACCAGTTACACGTCTAAATGAATGTGCTACCCTCTTCAGATTCCCTGTACATAAAAAGGATACATTTAGCAACACTGCAATTGCCCATTATGGTTTTTTTTGGTTTGTTTGTATGAAGAAAACAAGTGGCAAAGGACAAAGAATTCATCACGGTTTGTTATAAGAATTGTGCTTCACCATCCAAGAACCAAGGCATTCTAATTTCTTCATATGGTTGCAATTCAGTTATCTCCATGCTGACTTTCAAAATGCAATTCTTTTAATAAACAGTAACAAGTTCTCCATTTAAAATGTTTAAACTGAGAGAAAAAAAAAAGTAAGTCCAGCTTTTAAAAGAAAAGTTCAATAAATAGGTATTTTACATGGATAAAGTCATAGTGGTACAAATTTATGAATGTCACATCAAGCATGCACAAAAATGTTACTATACACAGAAGTAGTCAGAAAATATTGAAAGAGATATCTAAAAAGATATGAAGAATTTACATATTTACGAAATCTTGCAAATTATTGCCTCATTTTAACAAGGAATTAAAAGTAAACGATACCAGCTAGCTAGCCAACAGGCTAAGTAAGATCAGCATTTATATTAGACTACCTGGAATTCACTTTTCTCTCATATCATTTTCTGAATTTTGGTCAAAGTCTTTATTAAATAACTAAAGTGTCCTTTCAACTTGCTGACAACCCAAACCTTAGACAAGTCTCTGCCTACATTAAGAGCCCAGCAATGCATAGATAAACTGAATATATTACTGCATCAGCTAATGAGAATGGGCATGTTCATTTAAGTGCAACTGGTATAAGCATTCAGTCATCTTTGTATAATGATTTTTTGCAGACCAGCCACTCACTGTAAACCCATAGATAAACTTGAATGTATAACAATGGAGGATTTATGGCCAGTATTTTACAAAATTACTTAAAATGGGTTGATTCATAAACAAAAGAAACAAGGTACAAAGCTCAGCACAAAACACAGCAGTAAGAAGCTGAGAACTTGGCTAACAATGTCCAGAGTACAACACAGGGCCAAGGCTACCCGTTATTTACTGTGTACTTAATTAAGTTACATATTTCAGATGTTTAAGAACTGATTAAAAAATTATATCTACTTTTGTCCACTGTGCTAAATTAATTTGTTTTTAATATGGTAAATGTGCTATTGCATAAACACTTCAAAGCAATCCTCATTGCAATGCTGTAAAGAAAATTCCAAATGCTGCATCTGAAACTCGGGATGGCAACGCAGTTCACAGTACGCATAATAAATACCCTCTTCCCTTTCAAATATTAAAGTCACTAGTTTCTAATTACTCAGCATAACCTTGAAGCAACTATTACAAATATCAATGCAAACAATCACTTGAGTAATGAAAACAAATTAGTGGCAATTAAATCCGTAATACAAAACAGTGCAAAGAAAAAGTATGGAGGAAAAAAGGCAAACCTACTGAAGTAAGGTTCAGGCTCCCATTAAACACCCTGCAAGCTGTATGCTACATCAACCTGTCACAAGCCAATACTACACTTGGTTTGACTCTCCTACAGGAATTGCAACAAACATTTGCTAGACAAACTTCCTGGGTGGCTAAATTGGTTCAAAATAAAAAGGTTCAAACCAAAAAAATTTACTGAAGTTAAATAGTTGCTTTTATGGGAGACATTTTTACTCATCCTTTCCTATTTGACCAAGGAAGTGAAGTGCCACTTTGAAGCCAATGACTTGCCAAAACAAATAAATGCAATCCATGCTAAATAAAAACTTCCAAGCACGTACTTCAAGGTTCTACTATTCCTACATAAACTAGACAGTCCCTAAAAACTGTAACACTTTGAACTGCAGTGCTCCAAACAATTTAAAATGTCTTCCAAATGTAGACTGTTTGTTTAGTGGTAAATCCTAAGCTGTGAAGACTGTAGCGTTATACAACATCAGCTACTTCAGAAAAGTCAAGGTATATGATTGCATTACTCTTCGAAGTCATGGACAAAACCTACCCAAATTCAATATAGCCTAAAAGTCATCTGTTTAAGCCAGTAAATTTCAAGTACACAGACATCTACAGAAGCATGATTACTCTGTGTAAGGTAGCCATGGCCTATAGTTTTGCAACAGCATCCAAATGTAGATCTTCACTTTACTCATGTTAAGTTCCTTGTGCTAGCTTCCACTAACATGAATTTGCTGTTTTGTAAACTGAAGTGCTCTAGTTTAATATCACATGAGTAAAGGTTCCATTTAAAAAACATCCTTGGATGTTTGTGCAGTTTAAAGTAAAGAAACCCATCCCTGCCTTTATAAGGGGGAAAAAAAATGCTACATTGAGCAGGGATCAGGATTGGTACCTGTAAACATTGTTATTTCACTGCATTCATTACGCTAAAAGTAACTTAAGACTAAAAAGCCACTCCAATCTGTTCAGAACTTCTGTGCTGGTTTTGAAACGGTGGCCTCTGTCTACAGGCTTTAAAATAAAACTGAAGCAGAGCTTAAAGCTGCACTACAGAGTTCTTTTAGTCCCAAACTCTGTCAAACATCCTATGACATTTCCACATTTATGGACTGAAAAAAGAAATTACTCTTGATAAATCAAGATATAGTTCTATACATACAAAGACATCACTGATGTCATAAAGTTCAAACTTCCAGTGAAAGACTAGGCAAACCTGATAGCTCCCATCAAGTTTACTACTACTGCATAAAGTACCCACTGTTTGTTTAGTTTTCCACAGTCATTCTGAGTGAAGGGCAGCATGTTGGTGGAGAGTGTGGGTATTGATAAAACCATTTGTCTCATTTGCAGATAGACTGCTGAAGTCAGCCACTGAAACAGCCATTTTGGCACTGGTAATGTGGTGTGTGTGGTTCTCAAAGTCCACACCAAGGTTATTTACAGAGACATCATTCATGAAAGACTCTGGGACAGCAATTCCCATTTTCAATCTCTTCGCAGGTCTTTCTGTCTCCTCACTGCATATGTTCATTTGGTTTAGCTCTGAATGATAAAAGCCAGTCTCAAATAAATTAAAACAATCACTTTCACCATTGCTAGGCAAGTTAAGCAATTCTTCTGTTCCAACAGGCACATGATTAACTGGTGCTCGTGGTAAGCTGTCCATGGGAGGGAAAGTGTCATCCAGGCAGTTCACATCTGAAGTGTGGCAGACTGTAGCTACGCTGTTTGTCAGTGCTGGAAAATAGATGAACACAAATGCAAATGAAACAGTTGTTTGCATAATTTTAACAAAGAGATTTATTTTTTTTCTTGATTTACCTGTCAACTCATTGGCAGTGATAGAGTTAAGAATGCTCAGCTGCTGATCAGGAATGATTTCTGTTCGACTGTTAGATGTTAAGGCTGAAGAATGGACTGCTCCACCAAGGGATTCTGCTTCATCTACCAAACGATCCATGTAGTCCCTGAAAGAATATTGCATCCACCATGTATCATATAACCAGAAAACAAGACCTATAAATGATGATGGATTTAATTTCAGTTGCCTTGGCCACTGAGGCATTACAATGCAGTGACAGAAAGGGGGGCGGGGGGGAGAAGTCTTCTACATTTATGATTTCCAACAGAAAACATATTTCAAGAACATTTTACTTACGTAACTCCAGGATGATGGTTATATCTCTTCTTTCCAAATCTTGTTTGCTGAGCAAAGTAATCATAACGTTCTGACTTTTTCCACATGTAATAGAAAGCCACACACTCAGCCACTGTTCTGGTTCTTACCTAACAGGCAACAAGAAGAACTGACAAGATTAATGCAAAGACTTAGGTTTTGTCATCTTCCAATTCCAACTTCTGCGATATTATTAGTTTTTACTGTTCTGGAACAACCAAATTTCCTTAGGAGACTTCAAACAGATCTGCAGTTTCAAGTAAGTATTACATTTGTTTTACTTTTGTATTATTTGCCTTCTTTTTAAAAACTTTATTGAAACTCTATATCTGAAGTACTTACATATATACATACACACCCACAAAGCCACTTTTAAACTGTTAGACAGATGTTCCCTTATGATGGAAAAAGCTGAGCAAATTAAGGACCTAAGAGAAGTGAAGCAGAAAAGACTCTAGGTATGTATTCCTTTTGGTAAAGTCCAGAATTGTGGAGGCTTTGACAACAGATAATCACAACAGTAAATGCTTAAACAACAAAATAAAATTGTAGTCTTGTTGAGAAGGTATAAAGGACTCAAAACTCATTTTGATTTATGTTAACTGTTTGTCTCTTTCCCCAAAATGGAGGTTACTCTGTGAAGTCAGATTCCTGGAGAAAGAGTCATTACTTCTACCTATACTTATATTCATTTTTTGATGCAGAAACATTTTGCATCATCATCAACCCACAGTTCTAGTTTAAGTTTTACAACTATAATATGCACTTCTATCCAGATACAGTCTGGCAGTAAAATAAACTTGAGTTTAATCAAACTTACACAAACATCAGCAGCAAATCCAAAATGCCTTGTGTGTAGTGTAAACCTTGCTAGTTTAGACATATATATACCAGGCAGGGGAGGAAATTAACAGGTGTCCATATGATAGTATGCAAAGTCCCAGTTAACAACAGTTTCCAGTGCAGTGACAGAGAAATATATCGTGAAGCTCCTCCATACACTAAATCTTGTCTAGCTGATACTTTCAGTATACCAAGGACATCACCTTATGCCAGGTCCCAGAACTTTCCCTAAACTTTCTGGCATTTTATCTACTCGTCAAAAAAAAAGCCCCAAAACAGTGGATTTCTTACACAAATTCTGGTCCATAGTGACAGATACATCAACACATGTACTTTGTTCCGTGCTAGAAAAAAATATTTTTAATCTCTGATGCATCAATGTTTATTTGTAAGGTCCCCTTAAAATCTGAATCACCTAAATGTTATTTAGGATGGGTTAAACCAGGTATTTAGCAAGATTAGCATACTGTTGTTAAACAGCAACCACAACCCTATAAAGTTTACCTGAAATACAACAAGAACACCAGACTCCTAAAGAAAAAAATTTTCAATGTGGTATCAAAAGCATAAAGGAGATACACAGGAAATTTTGAAACATTCATATTGTCAACTGTTGCTCTTTGATTAAAAAAAAAAATCCCTGTTATTCAGGCACGGAGGAGTCAATCAGAAGCAATCCAGATTAAGATTAGAAATCCTCTGCTGCTCAGAAAAGTGAGTACTGATGGATGACTACACTTCATGAAAACAAAGAGCTAAGCCTGATTCTGTAAACTTGCACCTACCTGGTTAATTTAAGTAAATGTGCATTCTCCCTTCCTGTACTTCTAGGAGAGGTACACATTTAAACTGAGTTGTAATGCACATGCATAAATAGAAGTAAAGTCAACACATTGATTTCAGAGGTAATACATTGATTCATCGTGCAATGCCTAAGGATTCTAGTGACGTCTAAGGAAAAAACTAGTGCAAAAATCCCAAACTGGTTTTAATACTGTTCTTGTTTCCCTCTTCTGTACAGCTTCTGACAAACATATTGCTTTTACATATTTTCAGCATCATAAAGTTTACTAATTCTTCCATTTAACTGTAAAATACCAACCTTGTTTTTCTGTATGAGATGAAAATCTTTTCCATAAATCAGAAGTGCATGTTCAAAGCTTCTGCACTCTTCTTCTGTCCATGCTGTCATCTCTTCTAGACAATTACAAAAGTAGCATGAGAAACCTGATTTTGCTCACTAATCTTTCACAAATAATAAAATTTTTGTTCCTAATGGACAAATATCCAAACACATTCTAAAAAAAAGTAGCTCAGTTATTTAGATCCATGTTATTTCCTCTACTGAACGAATATCCTATCTGAAATAAAACATTCTTCTTTATAAAGAATCTTCTAGAAGAGTTTGATTTCTGAAATCTTTCATCCTTGAGGGCAAATGATATTCAAAACAATCACTTGAGGGCAAATGGTATGCAAAAGATGTATTATTTTTAATAAGTTTGTTGTCAAAAGAATATCTGATTGCATCAGATAGGAAACGTTCTCAGTATTTCTTTTTACATAGGATACAAAGAACAGTGGTTGTTGGAAAAAGGAGTGAAGAAAAATCCTGTTTTAAAAGATGACCCTGCCTTGAGTGAGTGAGCAGTACTTTGGTTCAGGCATCACAGACAAGAAGGCCTGACAGCTCAGCCATGATGTGCAAAATAGATTTTTGGACAAACAACAACACAACACAAAAACTCTTCTTACTTTCCTATCTTGAATGTGACTTTGGGTATATACATAAATAAGGAGGGATTTTTCAGGCATCTTACAATGATAATGGTGACCCAAAAAGTTTCCATTCAACTAATATTTAAAACCAATGGGGGACCCCCCCTCCACATTTCAAAACATTTCTGGAAGCAGACACTGAAACCAAGACCTTTGTGCTCCCAGATGAAGGTGATAATTACTCCACTGCACTGCCATGCTCTTTCTTTCTCAGCCCCATTAATTTTTTACTCCTTACAAAGAGTCTTCAACCTTTGAAGAGAAGAAAATATCCCCATGTAAAGTCTCACTGTTGAAAAACTATCCTAGGACCGGTGGATTTTTAATTCCCACACTGAGAATAATAGTGAGCTTCAGTAGGTAGAGGAGATCATAACATAATGATTACTCTAAGAGGCAGGCACTGACAATATTATGGAATCACAGAATCATTAATGTGGAAAAAGTCCTCAGAGATCGAGTACAACCCTTGACCAAACACTAGCAACTAAACTGGAGCACTAAGTGCCCTATATGTCCAGTCATTTCTTGAACACCTCCAAGGGATGGTGACTCCACCACCTCCCCAGGCAGTCCATTCCAATGTTTAACCACCCTTTCAGGGAAGAAATTCTTCATAATATGCAATATAAACCTCCCCTGGTGGAGCTTGAGGCCATTTCCTGTCATCCTGTCACTAGTTGTTTGGAAGAAGAGAACCAATCCCCACCTGGCTACAACCTCCTTTCAGGTAGTTGTAGACAGTGATAAGGTTACCCCTGAGCCTACTCTTCTCCAGGCTAAACAACCCCAGCTCCATAAGCTGCCCCTCCCAGGATTTGTTCTTCAGACCCTTCCCCACTTCACTGCCCCTCTCTGGACATGCTTCAGCACCAAAATGTCCCTTTTGAAGTGAGGGGCCCAGAACTGAACTCAGGATTCAAGGTATGGCCTCACCAGTGCCAAGTACAGGGGGAGAATCACTTCCCTGGTCCTGCTGGCCACACTGTTCCTGATAGAGGCCAGGACGCCATTGGCCTTCTTGGCCACCTCGGCACACTGTCTGGATCACATTCACCTGCTGTCAACCAGCACCTCCAGCTCCTTTTCCTGCTTTTCAGCCACTCTGCCCCAGCCTGCAGCATTGCCAGAGTTACTGTGACCCCGGTGCTGGATCCAGCACTTGGCCTTGTTGAACCTCATACAACTGGCTTTGGCCCATCTCTCCAGCCTGTGCAGATCCCTCTGCAGAGCCTTCCTGTCCTCCAGCAGATCAACACTCTCACCCAACTTGGTTATGCCTGCAAATTGACTTGGGGGCACACTGATGAAGATATTAAATAGAGCTGCCCACAATACTAATCCCTGGGGAACACCACTTGGATTTAACTCCATTCATCACCACTCTCTGGGCTCACTCATCCAGGCACTTTTTACCCAGTGAAGAATGCACCTGCCCAAGCCACGGGCTGCCAGCTTCTCCAGGGGAATGATGTGGGAGACAGTGTCAAAGGTATTTTTCAATCCTGAAACAGGACTCTAAATTCTAGAGAGGTACTGAATTTAGGATATAGTCCTGCAGCCGATGCTTTGTTTAGGCCTACACAATCTCTTCTTCTACATGAAGTGTCTGAAGCATTCTTCTAATAGTCCTTATCGTGCCTTTCAGCTTTACCTCAGTGTCCTGGTTTTGGCTGAGATAATGTTCTTCCTAGTAGCTGGTACAGTGCTGTGTTTTGGACTCCATACAAGAATAAAGTCGGTAACACAACGATGTTTCAGTTGTTGCCAAATTGTACAATCAAGGATTTTTCAGTGTCCCATGCTCTGCCAGCGAGTAGGTGCACAAGAGGCCTGGGTGATCATGGCCAGGAGAGCTGACCTGAACTGGCCAAGAGACCATACCACAGACTAATGTGCTCAGTATATAAACTGGGGTGAGCTAGCTGGGACGGGGCAATCGCTGCTAGGGACAGGCTGGGCATCAGTCAGCAAGTGCTGAGCAATTGTATTGTGCATCACTCACCTTTCTGGGGGTTTATTCCTCATTTCATTACAATTATGATTGCTATTATTGTCATCAGTGTCATTAGTATTGTCACTATATTTTTTTGATTTAACTATTAAACTGTTCTTAGCTCAACCCACAAGTTTTACTTTTTTTCCCTCTGATTCTTTTCTCCATCAGCTAAGGAAGCGGGCTGGGGGCAGGGAGGGTGGTGTGATGTGCAGAAGTAGTGAGCTACTTAGTAGAAGTACTGTGATACTTATCAGCTGGGGTTAAAGCAGGTCACTTGTCTTTCACAGCACTCAACTTGTAAACACTCAAGTTTCCTTTGGAGGAGCTATCTGCCAGAACACCAACTTATACCAGGGCTCATAATCCATTTCTACTTCATGCAACACATATGCAAAAATACAGGACAATGAACTGTTTTTGTTAAATGACAGACTCTGATTTTCATTTAAGGGAATAATAATTAATGGGGACAAACAAGATAGAAGCTCATTTTCCAGCAAAGCTATGGAACTATTCAGTAGAACCAGTTTAGGGTTGGCATAGCACAATGTCAGCACAGTGAGGAGGAGAGTGGGGCTTATTTATGTACCCAGCCACTTTCTCCTGATTTTGGTACAAATGTCATCAGATCTCAAAAAGATACTAGATTATGTGTGAGAACTGCCTTGTGGGAGCAGAATCACCACTCTCTCCAATCTGTGCCATTGTTACAACAACAGTTGTTGTAACTGAAGAGAAGGTCAAAAGTAAATCCTCAACCTTTCTACACATTGCAAACTTCTGTAGCAGAATTTCCAACTGGCCAACCATCAGATTATACTGAATTTCTGCTAAAGCCATCATGGATAGTGATGTGCTCGTTGATCTGATTCTTACTCAAGGTTTTCCCACAAAACATTTTTTTTTTCCAAACACACATTTCTGAAAAACCAGGTACTCTCTCTCTTACCCTGGGACACCTTTCCATTTGAGCAGTATCTCTCAATTGCTTCTTTAACATTATGGCTACTTTTAAGAAGTTCATACAGCGCCTATAAAATGGAAAAAGACTTCAGATCAAAGTTTTCTAATTTTCAACCCAGACCTCCAAAACTAGCCTCCCAGAGAGCCTATCTAATGTAAGAAAAAAGAGGATTTGTTTATGAATATGATGAATATTTAAAAATATTTAAAAATAACAACCAAAAGCAAAACCATCTAAAAGTTGAGACATGGTCTAATTAAAAAAAAAATAAAATCTTATATGCAATTATTAAAAAAGTTAAATTTGTCAACAGTATGACAATCAGAAACATCACAGATCACAACACTGCCAACAGTCAAATACTTGTGATTTTTAAGTATGTGCATAAAATTACAAGTAAGATCCTGATGCAATAACATCCAATTAAGGAATGAAGAAATTGAGTACTGGTGCCATTACAATACAAGGCAGAGAAAGAGAACACACAATAATTACAAAGCAACGTGTTACAAATGGAACAAGATATAAAACGTACTTGTTCATTGTCCCGTGTATGTAGTCCTTCAGGAATTCTGCCAATCATTTTTTCATTTCCTGTTCTTAAGGAGGTTTCAAAAAGGTATTCTTTAACTTTACTTTCTGAGATCACATCAGGTTTCCAAAGTAAATGGTCTTCATTTTCATAAGCTGATAAAACAGAAATCATTAGTGCCAGGTGTGACATTTTTAAGGGTGTAACATCAAAAGCTATGTCAGAAGTAAAAAGAACAGGAACACAGAAGTAACCAAATCAAGCATTATCATGCCACTTGTAAATTGCAAGTCACTACGGCTATTTAGCCATTTTCAACTAAAATTTGCCAAAAATTACTCAGCAGAATGGCAATCTAGATCTCAATGTGGCAATTTGGTTTTCCATTCACTAACAACTGAGTACTCTTAAGAACTTGGTATGTTGCATATTTTACAAGTAACCAAGATGTACAGTCCAGTCCTCCTTCATAGCACATTGAATTATGTATGCACCTCCTAGGCAGCTTATTTCCAGGACAAAATACTGGACATGCACAAGAGCTGGCTTGAACCTTTGCCAGTATGTGCGTATGTTTCAACACCAGATCCAATTATTGATCAGAGGATCAATATATGTGATTACCATTGCACACAATGTTTCACATACTTTCTTGGCAATAAAAATTTCGAGTTATTCGATTCAAACACAGAAGCATAATGGCTGCCAGAGCGGAAAAGAATGAGATTTTCAAAGCTCTCCTAGCTTTGAACATTAAGCAGGAACATTAAGTCAAGGTGGGGAATAAAATTACACCTCTGAAAGTTCTTTTATAGCTCAAGAATATGGAAAGCTGTCAGGCAGACATGTTGCAAGTGTAAAGTTTATAGGAGAGCACAGCTGCCTTCTAGCACAATTCTGGTAGCTTGGATTATATAGCACAAATGTAAGCCCCTGTTTGCCATCACTAGCTCCTCAGGGGGTAGAGAAAAGGCTTTCATAGAATCGTCCACCCCTACATCCAGGTCCAACCTTACAGAGCACTGCTGACATTCAGCTTCAGCTTCCTTTATCAACCAAGGCAACACAGCACTTTTTGTTCGAGTCCATGACTGATAATCTCAGAAGGAGCTCCTCGAGCTCTCTGATCTCGGAGCCATCCCTTTGCTCTTAGCCATGCCATCAGACAAGACCCTCACTGATTCTCTCTAGTACCAGCTCATTACAGAGAAAGTTGTCAGATTAACCTCTCCTCGGTCATCCTCCGATTATTGGCACTTCCTTAGTTCTTGGCTGAGGAGACATCAAGATGTGTAAATAGTAAAGAACTATCCATATAAATGTGGTTCTTACTCCTCCATTTCTCATCACCCATCAGCATCATGCTTGAATCTTAGAAAATCAGAGGCTTCCCCAGATCTTAAGCAATACAAGAGATGTTCACTTCTTAACACTTCCAACTCCATTCATATCAAACATTCTTATTCCCTATTGCAAAGGGGTATTCTTCAAAAAAGCAGGTAGTAATGTTGAAAAGACTTGATATAATTAATTTAAATAATATCCCCATTAAAAGCTACAGTAACAGAACACAAGTAACTTACAGAATATAAAAAATTTACAGAAAAACCCTCAAATGCTCTTTGTTTCCTATTATTATATCACCCTAACCGCTTTTTAATTTCATAGTTGTTCCACCCATGAGCAATTTTTTTCATTATTTGCCTTTTTCAATTCCACAGCTGTATGTGCCAAGTTTTTAAAGATACAAAATAAAACTCTACTAAATAAAGTTCTTTTTCTATTCTAGCACCACTACAGTTTTTAACCTAAATCTGCAATGGAATAACATCGTATATAAAACATCACATTTTTTTAAGAGATGGTGTATCAGGACCTATATCAAGGAAATATTTTTTTCCGTGTCAATTTTGTAACTCACATGGCAGTACTTGCCAAAAAACAAGCACAGAAAAATACTGTTTTGAAGATCTTCAGTGTGAACTAAGTTACATGTTCATAGCCTTGTATTGATTCTCTGATCAAAATATTTCCTTCTTAACCCACAGTTTGTTTCCTCCTAATTTTACCAGATACTTCAGCATTAACTC